ATGAGTATCTTAACTAAGCAGAAAAGAAAAGCTGGGCAAGAGTCATGTGGTGGACAGACAGATATGCCAAAGGTCATTTAGACTACCTCTCAACAGCACTCAATCAATAGATGAATCATTGATAAATATTCAATGTTTGTACATTGCATGTCATATTCTGAGTACACAATAGCTACTCTGAAAGACCCAGTCATTGCCCACATGGACTGTGTGGTCTGCCATAGAGTAAACAGACTTTCAGCACCCTCGGTCTCAGGGACGCAACAGCCTGGAAAGTGTTAATATGACGATCTGTGGCAGGAGCTACAAATGCCTATGAACAAAACATTCCTAAAATTACCACAATGATGGTGAGGCCTGAAGGAAAGGCTATTAGCCAGGTAATTGTAGGGTTGACCCTAAGATACGGAGAACAAGATCAGTTATGGCTGGCTCAGGAAAAGGAAGGAAAGCAAGCATGTAGTACATGAAGGGTAATTTAGGAAAGTTTAAGTTGGATGTGGAAATACCTCTGCCTAAAACCGATCTTGGTGACAGGTGCATAATAGTACAAATATACTAAAAGCATTTCAATTGCATTCTTTAAATGGGGGGGCCTATAGGTATAGGAATAACATAAAACGGCTCAATAAAACTGTTATGAACCACCTGTCCTCAAAGATCAGAAGATTGATAGATGAGTGAAAGGAAAGCAGGATTGACATTTCAATAAATGCTGAATACTGACATGATTTAAGGGGGTAGATAAATCAGCAATTCTCTTCAGATGCATAGAAAAAAGTAAATCTACAAAGGCCATTTCTTCATAAATTGCTACATCTAAAATTTTAATCTTAGCAACAATAACAATAAAGAAGCATAGATTGTCAAGCGATGCCTTTGGTGAAAAATTTCAGTGGACAGAAAAGAGATACAGAATGTATTGATTTCTTCTTATGCACCTGCATGTATGAGAGCATACAACCCCACAGACCCCCAAGGTTCCACACCGTGGGACCTAATGGCCAAGCACAGCTGCTTTGTAGCTGTCCTCCATCATTCTTCTCATGGAGTAAGCAATGCAAGGGGTAAGGGCTGACGACAAAAAGTAAGTGGCTTCCATGTGCCATGGTTCCACTGAATCTACATCTTTACCCCTTCAGACAGCAAAGGAGATGAAGGCTGATGCGATTTAAAATATTCAGGGCTTAAAGGCACTCCACGCTCACAAGAGAAGAAGAGGCAGCACTTTATAATCTTCAATAGCAACACAAATGGATTATGGGTACTGATGGACACAGGCTCTTGAATTTTAGCACAAGTTTCATAGGCTTTACTTTGAGATTATTGCAAAGCCCTGTAAAAGGTATTCAGGAAAGGTGTGCCTAGGACAGACATTCTCTGTAAGAGTACTGTTCAAGGAAATACAAATGTCTATTTTTATAGTGGCAGCTCTCTAGAAAGCTCAAATTTAAATTTTAGTAGGAAGATGAGCAGAAATAAAAGCATGAATGTATGAAGGATGCAGCTAACAGACTCACAATGCCAAAGACAAGCACTGTGTAGTTAATGTTCAATGCAAGGACAAGAAGCAGCATAATGGTGAGGAGAGACTGCAGTGTTTACAGGTCATCAGTGGGGAGAGCCCAACTCAAGATGGAGGTAGGCTCCACTTGAAATCAGGGCAAATGTTGGGCGTTGGTGGCGCAAGCCTTTAGTCCCAGCACTCTGGAGGAGCCAGAGGTAGGTGGATCTCTGTGAGTTCAAGGCCAGGCTGGTCTACAGACCCAGGATGGGTTCCAAAGCAATACAGAGAAATTCTGTCTTGAACCCTCAAAAAAAAAAAAAAAAAAAAAAAAAAAAAAAGGAGGGGCAAACAAAGGATGTGGGCTCAGAGAAGAGAGCCATTTAAGGACTCAGCCACCACGCTCAATGACTTTCAGTGTTCCCACTCAGATGACTATTGGAATAAATACCCTCTCCCCTTTCCTCATTTATCACCCTCATAGGGGAACAGCGAGAGCTATGTTCATGACAATGAGAACCTACAGTTCTCTAGGTAAATTTTATTGCCCAGGTTTACCAGTGATGGATGGGAATGCAGCCTGAGTCAAATGGATATGATATCCAAATGAGCAGGCATAAGCAGGCAGCCACAGCAGCAGGGGAGAAGAGCTCTCCAGGGAGCACCATGTGTGAATTCAAAAACGTTTACTGCGCAAGTCAGACTGCACCAAGCAATAAGTATGGTCTGGGGATCTGTCCAAGACACACGGTCTCTCTCTGTGCACCTCAGTCTTGTGTGAGAATTACTGTTAGGAAAGAGGAAGTGTGGGTACTTAAAAACCAGGAATAAAGTTGAATCTCTGTCATTTTTCTGAGTTTCCATTAACTCAGAGTGTTTCAAAATTCTGAAAATTTTAATTTTAATTAACAAACCACTACCACTTACTTATTCTCTAGGAATCCATAGAAAATTTATTCTAATTTGCTCAGATGTACATGTTAACAAGACATCTTGTTGAATATGAAAAATCCATTACCAACTGAAAATTTCACCGCCCCCCCCAGACACTGTTAGTACTGACACCACATACTTTTGTCATAGGGCATGGAGAAAGCCAGCTGGTACTGATCTGGAAGCCTCATCCCTACTGGCTAGATTCATAATTTTAGAAGGGTCTATGCATGTTACCAAAGGAGAAAAGTAGTAAACAGTTTTACTCAGCTATGAACTATATAAGCAATAATAACAATTAGCCTGGTAAGTTATACCCACTGGTAGAATTATGGCATGAATATCTTAAACAGGCATTTTCTCATTGAATTTAAGGCTCATTGCACAAAATAAAACTCATAACTTGTACCATTAACTGGTTCAAAAACCCATGGCTGACTAGTTCATAAGCACTAACAAAGAATATAATACTAGCATTCTGCTGAATAGACATAGCAATAATTTGCTTTTAAATTCTCATCTTTATACTTGCTGAAGTGTATCTACCAGTCCTCATCAGGGAAGCTGCTTTTTGTAGTAGATGATAATTAATACAGAGACCTATAACTGGTCAACATGCAGAGAATATGAGACTGTGTAGGGCTCAGCTCTAAATGGGACATCTATATCACACACCAACCCCCAAAGCTTAGGGACATCACAGAAGGACAGGAAGACTGTGCCAGAGGTAGTGGACATCTGCAGTGACTCGGTATTTACTGAGCTTGACAGGGTCACTATACACATGGATTCACAGCAGCTATGAACACATGCACAAGAGCGGCAACCAGGCAAATTCCCAACATGGATGGGGAAGAGCTCATGAAGTCCCACCCCAGAGCAACTGTGACAACTGACAGCCCCTGGGGGAGGGGAAAGTCAGTTTTCCTCAGGGATATGCTCTCTGAAAGGCTAGTAGATGGTTCTCCATTCATGCACCTATCTATGTGCTTCACTAAGTGAACTCAGTTTAAAAACAGCATGTGAAGTTGGGAGGGCAAAGTTCTGGAAGGGACTAGGGCAGCAATAGGAGGGATGGGAGTGGAAAATGGCTTTGATTAAAAAAAAAACCATAATTCATGTGAGTTTAAATGTATTAGGTTACATTGTAGCTGTAATTATCATTTAAAATAAAAATTCATATTAAATTATTTTATTCTTAAAAGTCTCATTAAAAGGCACTGGTACAACTAAGAAATTCTATACAGCTAACCTGAATAGAGTTATAGAACATAAGAGTCTAAAATATCTCAGAAATTATTCAAAATTAAAAAGTTCTTTGGTAAAAATGAAAAAAAAAATTCAACAAAGAAACCACTACTACCTATTCTCAAGGCACCATAGAATATTTATTCTCAGTGCTGGCTTTTGTGATTTTTGTTTTTTTTTTTAGATTTATTTATTATGTATGCAGGGTTCTGCCTGCATGTACCAGATCTTGTTACAGATGCGTGTTGGTTGTGATTGGTTGTGAGCCATCATGTGGTTGCTGGGAATTGAACTCAGGACCTCTGGAAGAGCAGCCAGTGGTCTCAACAGAGCTCTAAGCCATCTCCCCAGCCCCTGGCTTTTGTGATTTTTATCAGAACACATGTTAGCAAAATACATCTTGCTGAATATGAAAAATGCGTCATCATCAACAGAAATTCCCACTGAGATGCTAAGAACATTGTTATACAAAACTAATGGAATAGGACTGCAGGGTGTGGTGAAGCTCCAAAACAGGAGACTACTTCCGCTCATTCTAATCTGGTCAGTACCTCAAGGATTTAGAAGCAAGAACAGTCACTCATGGCAGAAAATGAAGACTCGGTGTTTTCCTCCTTGGTGTGTTTTAACCTAGCTTCTAGTTTTGCTCATCCTGTCTTCCATTCTCCCAATCTTCCAACAAGGAGAGGTGCTCACAAGGCCAACAGAGCACACCGACTCCCTCCACCTCCCACGACCTCTCTTTAGATCAAACAAAGTTCACTGGATGCCTCTAGAACCCAAGCAGGCGACACTAATGAGCAAAATGAAAGGTAACATAACATGCATGCACACGTGCATGTTTGTGTGTGTCTGTGTACATATACACATTTCATAAGTGAAATTATGTGAAGCTGAAGAGGAGACAGAAGGGAATAGTATTTGGTTCCTGTGATTGCTACCACATGTAATGTTAAGAAATAAAGGTAGGTTAAAATTTTTATGTGTATTTCTGAACATGTCAATTTGTTTGTTTTAAGAGCAATGCCTGGGTCAAAGAGGTGGCCAGCTCTCAGTCTTGTTAAGACATTGCTACTAGCCTGCTATGCTAAATTCTGTAGATTTATTTTCATCACCCCAGAGAAAAAGAAGCAAGGCGGGAGGTTCACCCATAAAGTCAACAGTAAGGGTCCTCCTCTGTTCTTCAGGCAAGCTCTGCGGACTGACAGCCTAATGCAGTGCCCTCTTATGATCACACAACACTGCCCTGCCCAGGACCGCACAAAACAAACTTACTTTCTTTCCCATAGTGAAGTCGTTTTGAGCGGTTGCTTACCCGTTTGTCAATGTCGTTGTGTTGAAGCTGCACAAAACGTGCACTGATGGCTGCAATGTAGCTCTGCTGATTGGAGAACGCAACGCGCCCGGCACCTTTGGGGTACTTCAGCTCTGGGTCCGTGTCAATGCCAGCGTAGCAGACGCCGCCGTACAAGCGGTCCATTATCATTGCCAGCTCAACTGTAGGAGAACAGACAGGGCTATGTGTAACCATTTGGAACAAATCACCCAGGAAAAGACGGGTCGTGTGTCTAATTATGGAAAGAAAACCCACGTGAGGGTTCATGAAGAACGGCCACATCAGTCTAGCATGAGAGCTATTCACTGGACATTCGCTTACCTGTGCTGCCAACTGCCTGAAGGGAACTGTTTGCTTGAAAGCACCATCTCCACCTAGGGCCATTCTTTTCAGGCCACCGCTAAATCCAAAGACTCAGGCTCACCCCTCGGGAGTGACCTAAACACTTTCAAACCCTACATGTGGCATTTAGAAAGAAGAAAACAGGGAAAAGTGACCAGAGGCAATGCAGCAAACAGCGCCACACCCTGGAGGGGACAGGCAAAGGTTCTGCAGGGCTCAAATGGTGTTTCAGGATAGCCCCTGAGTTCTACAAATAGATAATAACGCCAAGTATTATTCATTCTGGCATAATGAAATTGCAAAGGCAAAAAGAAAAACTGTCCCCATGTGACAGCTATTTTTGCATTTCAAAGTTTCTTTTTATACTAGACTACCTGATACTGATTTTTTCCTAAATGACCATTAAAAAAAAAAAAAAAAAAAAAAAAAAAAAAGGAAGAACAACCTATAAACAAAGCAGTAAGTTTGAAGTGAGAAGATAAGTAGTAATAACTAGCCCAATGGTAAGTGCTAGGAAGACCAAGCAGCAGAAAGCCATCCCAAATGTCCCACTATGGTCAAAATTATCGAGTCCCAACAGCCAGGAGCACCACTGACTAAAGTTAAGGGGACCGTGCTGCAGTTTCCAGGCAGCACCTGGAATGTCATTCACTTGCACAATGCAACAACTGCACCCGTCCCCTGAATGTCAGAGGTCAGGGTTCCACACACTTCATCCTCTGATGGCCTAACCTCTTCCTCACATGGACAATGCTATCTCATCAGGAAGCAGGAAACTGAAGAGAGGATTGTAAAACACAGCCAATATTGAATTCTCTTAGTGAGGTAAGTAATCAGGCTCAAGAAACGAGACACCAATTTTCCAAAGGCCAGGTTTGCTCTAGAATGGAAAAGAAAAAAAAACACTCCCTAGGCCCGGTGAGCGGCTAGGAAAAGAATGCTGGCAAGGAACCAAATGGCGTTGTCTTCCACATAAGGACTCAAAAAAGGTATCCGAATTACAAAGGAAGCAAGTACTGTAAACTGGGAGCTCTGGTTAAAGAGGAGTTAAGAGTGTTGGCACAAGCTTTGTTATACCACAGCAGTCTCCGAAGGAGCTTAGGGACGCCAGAAGGCCCTTTCCATAAGCATAAACATTCCATTATTTTGTGAATCTCGCTGAAAAGTCACTGTCACATGCTAAAGCCTAGACCATGACTGACATTACTGGCAGTTAACTCCTGATAAGAAGCAGGGCCTCACCCACGTGTGCTTTTATGAAAATCATAGGCAATTTCCATTTGTGAGCATTCTTTGCTTGTATGTACATGTGTGTATGTTCATGAGTAGAGAGTGCACATGTATGTTCACATGAGTGTGGAAGACAGAGGTCAACCTCGGTGTCACTCCTCAAGAGCTGTCCACCTTGGTCTTGGTCTTGGTCTTGGTCCAGGGTCTCATGCTGTGCCCTGAACCCTGACTGTTAGGTTAGGCTGGCTGCCCAATGAGCCCCAAAGGTCGTCCTGGCCCTGCCTCCTCAGTTAGATGTATGCATCTAACTCTGGGTCTCAGCTTACCTTCCTTATGAGCTTTCTCTCCCCAGTCCTATAGTATTTTCTTGGTCACCAAAAAGGCTCCAGATATTTGAGCAATAGTGTTTTGCTCAAGTGAAAAGCAATTTGTTAAAAGGCTAGAAGAAACCAAAGTGGCTAAAGGAAGAGTTTTTTCCCAAGGAAACTGAGAAATTTTCATCTAATTCATAGGTTTTTGGGGGGGGGGTGGAGGTGGGGGTTAATTATTATTATTTTATTTATTTATTTCTGGGCTCATGTAGCCCAGGCTGGCTTCAAATGCCGTGTAACTAAGGATGACCCTGAATTCCTTATCCTCCTGCCTCCACCTCTTTTTGCACTGGGATCACAGGCATGTGCCACCACAGCGGGCTTCGGTGGTACTGAGGCTTGTACTCAGGGCCTCGTGCATGCTAGGCAAGCATTTTACCAACTGAGACACCACTCAGCCTCACAAATCTATATGCTAAGTCTATGTTATGGTCACTTTCGGAGAAAAATAAAAAGCAATCAAACTACAGTTTATAGCTGATCATTTACTCAATCCATAAGTCTTCCCATGGTGTACTTCCTGAACTCATACTACGCTAAAACACTAGAGTGATGTCCCTTAAATACCAACCAGGGTTTCCAATATTGAGAAAAGTAGTCACCTTTCATAAGTAATCCTTTTTCAGTAATTTGAAAGCTATAAAGGCATATAAAAACAAGCTTCATCCATCCACGACTGGATGAGTGACTAACAGAAGCAGAGAAGAATCTCTTTTAAGTCTTACCAATTTCTAATCTGAGAGCTTTCCCCCAATTTTTAGTATCTAGTTTTACTTGTGTGTGGTCCGGTGTCTGCAGTGGCTGGAAGAAGGTGTTGAAACCCTTGCATTTGGAGTTAACAAGCATTTGTGAACCACCCAATGTGGGTGCTAGGATTTGAACTCTGGTCCTCATAAGCAGCTGAACCATCTCTCCAGCCCCAAGTTTTTCTATTTTTTAAATAGAGGATGTAAGTTTACTGGCAAATGTTGCAACATATAGCTACTTTTAGAGACTAGGTTTAGAAGTCTCTAGAATGAGTATCATTAGTGAATATAGAAAAGTCCTGTATAGGCCCCTTCTTCTGATGGGAGGAAAGTAAGAATGGGGGAAAAATAGGCTACCATTTTTACTTTCTTAGAGGGGAGAGAGAAAACCAAGACAATCAGTTAACCGCCTGGACAACTAAATCTTCATTGATTCATCTATCTCTGCAGAGATGAATCCATAATCTTGCTGTGAAATTAATCGATGTATGTCCTGTTATCAAGTAAGCCTAAGGCAGTGAGTCCTCAGTCTAAACCTCTCTCTGTAGAGAATGGAAAGGGCAACTCCCTGGAGCATAGTAAGAAACTTAACCAAAGGAGACGAGGGTTCGAGGACTGGGCACACAGGTGAAGGAGTGTGGAGCCCACACGGAGGCCACATGGGTGACAGTGGGGTCTCTACTCTCCACCACTCCTGGTCTCGGGTCTGTCTAGTCACCACAGAGGTGAGAGGCTGACAGGGTTCAGAGAATCGTGCAAGTGTACACTGTATTTTAGACCACAGTAGCAACAAGTCCTCTGGGTCCTGCCTCCGTGCTGAGCTCCGCTGTGCCACACAACAAGAGAGGGAAGCTGCTGTGTGAGAAACAGCACCCTCACGAATTCTGTCTTGTGCTGACCACACTGCTGGAGATGAATCTGGACCCCAGTCATGGCTCCTTGGACCTGCTCCCGAGTCTTCAGAGACGTGACAAGGACTTAGTTCCCCAGAGGGAAAATCTTGATGATTTCCCCATTTTGCTCCACCTCAGGGTCCTGTTCCTATCGTTTAACTACCTTTTAAAGCCAGTCTATCTGAAGGCAATGTCTAAGTTGGGGACACTGAGAGCCAGGTAGGGTGGCAGAGGAATGGGGACTCCCAAGAGAAATATCACCACATTCATTGTTACAGATTCTAAACTGTGCTCTAGGAGTCAGTCCTATTCTTCTCTTAGGAAGTAAACAAAAAACAGACAGGAAGGGCCTGAAGCACCTCAGATGTCAAAGGATGATGAACTTTCTAGGTTTCCCACTATTGTTAAGCTGGTTCATAAGGGCTCAAGAAGAGGCATGCTCACTCACTTACATTTTGTGTCAGAAGAAGCCCAGAACAGTTTTAAATGGATGGCACGAAGCAGGATGTCAGAAGGAGAGTTTATTTAAGTTCATTAAATCAAACTGCTACCAAGCTGCTGTTTTACTGAGAAAATATACCAGATCTCCACTGGATAAAACAGCTTCCACCAAAGAGCCTGAAGCTGAACAAGAGACTGAGGACTTACTGCCAATTTCACTTCCTGCCACTCTATCTGAATTCTTCTCCTCAATTCTAAAACAGTTTACTGCTTACAGCCTTGTGAGGTCATGATAAACACTCTACCCATGAACGAGCAGCTCTAAGCACACTGCTTAGTCTTTTCCCTCTCTGCTCGTAAATCTTTGCTTTAAATGAAGCTGGCTTGGTTCCTGCTTTATAAACATCAATTCACCCCAGTCTAACTTTGGTTTTATGTTGGCTCAGTATGCCATGGACATGGCAATGTTTGGCGGCATCTATGGGCAAAAGTTTGTTGGGGGAGGGGAACACATGGTAAACATTATGAAGTCCTTATGCCTACAAGCATGTCAAACCTGGAGCTTATTTGGGTCACCTCATACTGACCTTGGTTGGGATGAGAAAGTGCTTACTGCTGAGAAACTGGACATATAGTAATTTTGGCCATCTACTACTTCACAGAACAAAAATGGGATATGGTTATAAGACCATTTCCTAATTACAAATCAGGATGTGATGTGAACTACTGGCATGTTTGTAAAAATGTCTGACATAAATGATCCTGAGAAACACTGAGATAGATACTCTCTACACGTGGCATGTATCATCAGAAGTCTGTGCCTCCCAGGGCTGGCCCTGTCTCAGTGCTAAAGAACATGCCTAGCACGCACAGCTTAAATTTCTTACACTATAATAAATCTTTCCCTTGATGTAAAAGCCATCATAGATCAACAGGGTTGGGGAGCAAGGACAGAACAAAACTTCAGGATTAATAGAAAGAAAAAGAAAGGAGCGACTTATCAGCGCAATGGCTGAGGAAAAAAAAAAAAAAAAAAAAAAAAAAAAAAAATAGACCCAACACCAGAGAAGCAACGACAGGCTCTAGCAGCTCAAGACCCGCAGTCTCTCAAGATGAAGCTGCTCTGCAAGGCCCGGCCTGATCAAATGTTGAAGGCAATCATCAAATGAAGAGCATGGATCTAAAGCCTATTAATCTGGGAAGAAGAGATCCCAAAACTTAAGTCACTTTAGCCGTCCTCAGGTCAGACACCGACGCCAAGAAGATGGAATGAGAGAAAGGCTCCAGCAAGTGAAGCAGAGGGTCCTGGGAGGCATGCCAGTGTGCACCTGCTCTCCCCACAGCCCGTACCTGATGCTGACTCACTCCCCACAGTGAAAGCTGCGCCCTAATGCCACAGGGATATGCCATAGGGCTTTTTCTGTGTGGGCATCGGGAAAATAGGGTGCTTGTTATCACTTGGGCAAAGATCAGCATTTGGTTGTCTCTGTGACCCACAGAAATGCAGACAAACGGCCTAGTTCTTTTGTGGGCTGTGTAATGGATGTGCCAACTTTAGCCACAGGGGGGCAGGGTGAGTCTGCTGCTGCTTTTTTTTTTTTTTTTTTTTTTTTTTGGTCCCCTGAAGGGAAAGAGACATCCAGATCTTAGAAAGATCAGGGTTGGGCCAAACCATCCTAAGCTTGCTGCTGTTACTCACAGGAGTGCTGGAAAAAGGGTGAGAGGCGAAGGCAATGTGCACTATCTGACCTGAACCCACAACCGAGGGATGAGAAAACTCATCCAGATATATACTTTTCATTGCTTTTCCTTACTCAGATAAATTTGTTCAGGCCTGAGATTTCCCCTGCCAACCCGAATTTTAAAAAGGAAGGTTTGACCTGGGCATGGTGGTTTATGTGTGGCAGGAAGGTAATGAGCTTGATGACAGATTGGGCTCCATTGGAAGACCCTGTCTCAAAAGGCAAAAGGGTTTGTCAAGGAGTATGAATATTTAATTCAATAGACACTCTAAGCCCAGTCAGGACAACAATTCTTTAGAGGCATTTCTATTTGGATGGGTAAAGGTTACATTTTGAATAAATATTAGCGATGACAGTCCCCATATTACAATGTCAAAAGTAAAACAAACAAAAAAAATTTTTTTTTTTTTTTTGTTTTAGACAATCTACAGGAATAATATCGATGGTAACATTCCAGTCTTCTAATCACTCTGGCATGCTAAATAAGTTTTTGGCCAAGGATTGAGGGAAAGAAAATTTATTCCAATACCCAAAGTCTCACCTACCGAGTGAGGCCCAAGGACAACCCTGTCCTGAGATGCTTGAAAAGGAAAGCCAGTGTTAGGCTGGAGCATAGCTCAGTAGAGCTAAGAGCCATTTACTGCTTTTGCAGAGGACCAGCATTTGCTTTCCCAGAACCCACATCATATGGTTCACAACCACCTGTAACCCATTTCTGGGAATCCAAAGCCCTCTGGCCTCCACAGGCACTGGCATGCATGTGATAAACATAAGCTCTGACAGACATACACAATAAAAAAAAAAGTTTTTAAAAAAATGTTTTATAATATTTCAAGACCAAGTTTCAGAATCAGGTTAAGTCTTCAACTGTCAATACATTTCTTGTGTTCTGTTCTGAAAGCTTTAGTTTTCTACATACAAAATGACCTGTTTAACATGATAGTGGGACACTCACTTAGTTCATTCAATATGTCGTGCCCCTGCTTATTTATTAGTGCACTTCCTAGCCAGCAGCTGCATCCCAGAAATGCTGGCAAGTGGGCTGAAGGTAACACTGTAGTAGAGCAACTGACTAGGTCTCTCCTATAAATCAGCCCAAACAAATCAATTTAAAGACAAAACAGCTAACTTAAAAAATTCAAGATTTATTAATTATATTTTCTAGGCAAAGAATATACATCCTTTTTCTGATTAGATAACAATATAATTCTTTTTTTAAAATGCCTTTTTTTTGGGGGGGGCGCATTTCGAGGCAGGATCTTATGTAATGCAGGCTTGCCTAGAATTCACTATGCAGCTAAGGATAACTCTGAACTCTTGATCCACCTGCCTTCTTCCACGTGTAGGGATTGCAGCCGTGTATCATTTTTGTCCGATTCTAGGACTTTTAGCATCTTGCTGAAGCTGAACATTGGGTACAGTGCAGCTTATTAGCTACATTTCCTGTGCCTTAAAAACAAGACCTAAAAAGTTAAAAATCAGTTGTATTATTTTCTGGTTGTGGGGAATTTTTTAAATTGTTATTTATTCATTTATTTTTTTTCTTTTGAGACAGGGTCTTACGGTGTAGTTCTGCCTGACTTGGAACTCACTATGTAGACAAAGCTGGCCTGCAGCAACAAGAGATCCATCTTTCTCTGCCACCATGTCCAGCTTCAGGTCTTTTAAAGGTTCTCATATAAAGAGTGAAAGAGATGAAACATTAAAACAACTTCTACTGCACTGTAGTTAGTTGCAAGGTATAGCGGTGACTATCCAACTGTAAAATCCGTGTGCAGTGGAAACTCTCAATGAGGGTTCTTCTTCTCTGGCCCTGCACAGGGACAGTCAGAAGTGTCAATGCATGTTCTATAGCATGCCACGCCCATCACCCGTTCCTAAACACTAGACTCTATCAAGTGATTTCTTTTGGCACAGCTTTTCATTAGAAGGAGGACCCAGAGGTCCCTGACTTTTAGAGATAATATAAAATTGCCATAATCATACTATTTTTAAAGTTCTTCAAAACAGAATTATGATTTTATCCCATTTCTTTGTGAGACAGGGGCTCACTAAGTAGGTTAGCCCAAAACTTAAGTAAGGGGCCCCTGCTTCAAACCTCCCAATGCTAAAGTTACAAGTGTGAGCCATAGAGTGAGTGAGTGAGTGTGTGTGTGTGTGTGTGTGTGTGTGTGTGTGTTGTGTGGGGACTGGAGTTAGAATTCAATAGTGTTGAGACTCCTTCAGAATTTTTCTGTGCAGCCTAGACTGGCCTTGTGTTCACTCAGTGAGTCGCTCAGCTTACAGTCGAGTGTCACTGCTCCTGGCTTGTACTGGGTTTAACTGTGGAGGTATCAGTTCAACACCACTTCCAGTCTCTAGCTCCTTATGATTTGGCTTACCCTCGGCAGCAGCATGAGATTGTTTTGTCCTTGGAAACAAATTAAAACAACAGCAACAACAGAGGAAGGCCAGGTGGTGCAGGCCTGCCATCTTAGCCACTTGACAGGTTGAGTGTATGCCTGACATACACAGTGAGTGAGTCCCTGCAACTTCCACAGACTGTTCCAGAATAAAAGTAGGAAGTGGGTTGGGGATACAAGTACTTGTCTAGAATGTGTGAGGTTCTGGGTTCAAGCCCCAGTACCACAAAAAAAAAAAAAAAAAAAAAAAACAAAAAACAAAAAACAAAAAAAAAAACCACCACCATAGAACAGGGAGCTTATGTAAATTCAATTTTTAAAATGCCTCATTACATAATTCATTTCTGGAAATTATAATAACTAATCAGCCCCTGCCTTGCTTGGGGAGGCCCAAGGGTCTAGCTTGATTCCCAGGTACAGTTGGCTCAGCTCTCACTGATGGAGAACCCAGATGCAGGCTTCTAATGGGGTAACTCTGCAACACTAACTCGAATGAGCACGCACATTGCCAAATAGTGTTATTTTAAATGTGTGGGTAAATAGGAAAGAACTAAATAGAGCTCAACCTTTCCACAAAATGGTTTAATGAAATTGACTCTTGCACCAAAAGAATATACAGCATTTTGGGGGAAATTCTTAACCATAGAAAAGCCATCTCAGTGGAAACAGCATGGCAGACTTCCCTTTGGAGGCTGTGATGACTGACTGGGAACCCAGGCAGAGATAACACATTGGGGGATTTGGTTGTCATCGCTTTTGTTGTGGTGTTTCTATTTCCACTCACCAGCTCGAAGGGGTCGTGGAACTCCCCCAACAAAGATAGTTTTTCTGGGGTCCAAAGGCTGAGAACCATCCATTACAAAGTCACTGTCACTTAGGTTCCACGGTCGGATTTGCACCTGAAAAAAAGTTGTTTACTTGGTCCTTACTTCATTTCCATCAACCCCAAATGAGAATAAGATGACTCGAGACAAACCCAATGCTTGTGCATTTTACAACATCCAAGACCCAACCAAAATCAAGTTAATTACTTAATCTGATCTGCATTAAGTGCCCTGCTGTCCTGGGGAGGCCACTCAACACTTAGACACATGCACAAACCACCTGTGTTGTTTAAAGGCAGTCTCCCGCAGAGTCTGGGTTCAAGTCCAGTTCATTTGAACACATCACAGACTCTTGGAAACCTGTCACAGGCCATACACCATTTAGTTTTTTCGTAATGAATCCATCTAATGGGAGCAGAAACATTAGGAAGACTTTCTAAGAATTACCTATTTGCCTGGATTTTTAATTCTCATCCCTGCCCCAAGTTAAAATATTTACCTTTCAAATAATCCGACATAACAGATTAACACTCAAGTTAGCAAACAATCTCAGAGGTGTCAAATACTGACACTTAGACAATGGTGTCTAATTATTAAACTTATTTTCCTGCACAAGATTGATTAAACAAAGACAAATTTTGTGTGTGTGTGTGTGTGTGTGTGTGTGTGTGTGTGTGTATACACATGCACATGCTCAAGCGTGCTCGTGCGCCTGCATGGGCATGCACAACTATGAATGCAAGAGAGAAAGGGAGACACACAGAGACAGACAGGGAGACAGGGCAGGGGAAGAAACCTGTGCTTGTTGTATGAGTCGGTGATCTCTTACTGTGGCAGTCCTTGAGCTTAGGTGGTGCCAAGCACCTTTAACTGCTCTGCCATCTCACCAGCCCATAAAACTTTACAGATGATAGAGAACCCTCTGCAGTTTATCTTTTTCTAAACATCCTAAACTTCTTATCGGAGTGTGCATGTTTGTGTGTGCGATGCATGTGTATGCACGCATGAGTAGAGGTCAGAGAACAGCTTTGGGGGCCAGCCCTCTCCTGAGGGCCCCATTCGGGCCATCAGGCTTGCGTTTCACATTGTCAGACAGATCTTCACCTACTGAGCCGCCTCACTGCCTGCCCTCATCTTTCTTTGTCATTTGGATTCTTAATTTTCTGCTCATACTCTGTCCTATTTTATCATACACTAATAAATTATCATATCAGTTTTCCCTAAAACAAATTCCTTTTAATCACAACACAGTTACAAAGAACAGCTTGACACAAACCGATAAACTAAACAGTAAGGGTGACACTGTCCCCAAAGCAACCAGTGTGGCAAGTGGGTGGCCACTGGGAACCAGCACCTGGTGTCTGTCCTAAGGAATAAATATGCCAATCCTCTGCCCCTCCCAGATGAAGATAGGACACAAAACAGGTGAACTGCCATACTTCGGTACCCACAGCGTTCATTTCCGGTCTCTGGCTTGGCTCTGCATGCCTGACACTCCCACCTGGCCAACTCTGCTGTCGTCCACCTCCAGCTCCTCTAAAACTGGCTTTGCTCCTTAGAAACAATCTGCACAGTCCTAAAATTGCTACCAAGTTTACCCTACCCTAATTTTTTTCGTGGGGGGTGCTCTCACTAATCAGTAAGACACCACAAAAATTTCAATTTCTCCCTCAGACTCTGAAAAATGGACCTGTTAGCAATTCTGTTAACACTCCAAAACATGATCCACCTTACTGCACAAAACAAACAAAACAAAAGAAAATGGCTTCTTTCCTGTTAAATGTGGTCGGCTGGGCTAAATGGCCGAGCCTTTGAGATTCTCACACAGGTGGTTTCATGTCCTCATGAGGACACCTCACTAATTTTTAATTATAAACACAATAATTTCCTGACATTGGAAGGATAAAAATCCTAGCATTACCAGTTAAAGCAAAGGGAGTAGTCTTCAGCACAGAAGCCTCTCCTACCCTAACAAAGTGGGTACAGCATCTCTAGGACACCCACACTGTTAACTGATTTAGTTAAGGTCATCAGCCCCCCAACCCTCTCTCTGCTTCAGTTACAGTCTCAATGTATTGCTCAGGTTGGTGTCAAGAGGTCCTGGACCCAAATAATCCTCCACCTTAAAACCCTCCCCCGCCATGTAGCTGAGACTATAGTTGTGCACCCCTGAATCCAACTGGAAACACATCACTTTGTTTCCAAATGAAAATAATTCCCATGTGGCTTCCACAGAGATTTGGTTTCATTTCATCAAAATTACAGGAAACATATTACAGCTTCTGTAATTGCTGGATGCTACCTGGAACCTTCCTGCTGAGAGCTTTCACCACTGATGGTCTCCCCCCCCCCACAATAACCCCCACAACCCCACTTCATCATCTCACACAACCCTTTTCCTTTGCGCTACTCTTGGCATTACAGCTTAGGTTAGACACACACACACACACACACACACACACACACACACAGTAAAGAGGAAGGAGGCTTAGGACACAGGGCTGATCACCCCTATTCATGAAACCTACATTTCCCAGCTGCTGCCAGGAAAACAGCTGCTCAGAGCTGGTACCTCCACAGTACTAAAGAAATGTTGGCACAGGCCACCGTTAGCACACTCTCCACATTACCACAGTGATGAGGCAGTGGACTAAGGCTTCCCTCTCACAATGGTTGCTCTCTCTGAAATAAAAGCTACTTTCACAGACTCGTGCCTCCCTTCCCTGTGAGCAGCAATGCTTCGGTAAGCACTTAACGAGAGAAAATGCAAAGCTTGTTTTCCTTCGGTTTCATTTTTGAATTATGCATTCCTAAGAAGGCTCTCCTGAGAACCATGAAATCTACGTTTGGCTGGATTATATGTTTTCTAAATTCTTATTTTCTGAATCAGTAATGTTTTACACAAAGCTTGCTGGTATAAACATTTATTTATGCCATGCAGTAACTTTGAACACGACTGTTTCAGAAGTCTCGAGGAATGCACCACTAATAAAACCCACGGTTACTGGTGAAAGCATAAATTCCCCTTCTGAGGTCTCCCAATGTGTTCTGCAGAATGTAAGTCCTTGGGGTTGCTATTATGTCAGACAACTGCTGTTTGGGAAAAGCTGTAGATTAGCTTTTGCTTGGAGTTTCAGGGCATTCGTCCATGTACTTAATTAAAGCTCCAAGGAAGTCTACAGCCAAGAAACCTGCAACACTGTTAAACACAGCATATCAAAAACTTTTCTATGAAAAAATTTAACACAACACCTACATCTAGACAAAACTGCCCTACAGCAAATTATAACACAAAGCATCGTGAATGACTAACCGGCCAGAATGTGGCAGAAACTTCTGAGAGCCAAGGTCTTTTCCTTATTTCCTGTTATTGCTTAGAAAAGGTTACTTCTACAGAAATCAACTTTAAATAGTTAAGAGTAAAATTTAATATAGTAAATTAGTTAATACATTTAAACATTAGATAGCTGTCCAATAATTGAATATCCTAAGCCTAAACTTCATTAAATGTATGTTACCAAATCACTTTTGTTATTTTTGCTATCAATAAAGAATAAAATACTAGGGTCTGGAGACATGGCTCAGAGGTATTGAGTTCAATTCCCAGCAATAACCTGGTGGCTTACAACCATCTGTAATGAGATCTGGTGCCCTCTTCTGGTATGCAGTCATAAATGCAGGAAGAACAATGTATATATAATGAATAATTCTTTAAAAAAGAATACAATACTAAATATGGATCTAAATTAAAAACCAAAATTTCATTCATATAACACCAAAGATGATTAATAGAAATATGACCAGGTTGACTACTAAGAAAAACATTAAGAAATGTAAATGAATCACTTCTTTGGACTGGTATGATAAAAGTCACTGGCTAAATGAGTTTTCAATGAAAATTAACAAAAACCTTCCAAATTAAAATGTAAACATGATTTTGTTCTATCTTTAATCATAGAATAGCCTCAAATACTGGCATATGCCTTTAATCCCAGCACTTGGGAAGCAGAGACAGGCAGAGCTGTATGAGTCTGAGCCAGCCTGATGGTCTAAATAGCATTTCAGGACAGAGCCCCTGAATGAAGTAAAGAGAGAGGGAGAGGCAGAAAGTGGGGAGAGGGAGGGAGGGAGGAGAGAAGGGAGGAAGAGAGAGGGAGAACACAGACTAAAGAGCTTCAAGGTTTTTTTTGTTTGTTTTGTTTTAAGCATCATCTAGCCTTCTTAGATGCCTTCTAGAATTCTCTGTTTAGATTCAATATTTCCATATTCATAGGTCAATAATTTGGGGGGCACTCATTTGGAACACCTTGCCCCATATTCCATCCTTCTGGTTACCAAAACACCCCACCCCCACTCAAATACCCCACTGCAAGGTGTCTTGTTCCCATTTGTTTATTCCAAGGCAATTCTACAAGTCAACACTGCAATCTGATGTCTGTGCAGGCACCTGAGCTAATATTTCCCCACCCCCAGCCAGCTGGCTATTGGTTCTCTTTCCTATAAAGCTTTGCTCAGAACCGAGATACTATCTACCACCCCCTTTCTTATTTCCTGTTATTTCTTTTCTATGTCCTTCAAATTCTCACTCGGACTCTGAGACAGAGTATTTTTCTTCTCCAATTCTACAGTCCTTTCCTTTCACAACAGAAAAAACAATAGTGCAGAACCATCTGGAATGCTCTCCACAGCAAGTTGCAGCATCCCAATTCATCCTCACTGCCAGGATGAGTCAGCTAAAGCCAGGTCCCCTGACATATAGCTGTAACGGGTCAGCTGTAGTGGTGGACTCTGACCCATGTCAGCTGTCAGCAATACTATTTTAAGCAGCACAGTCCTCATGAAATCACTGAAGTGTGCCAGCAGAGGCAGAAAGAGCAAGCTTAGAGTTTGTAAGTATCTTTGCCTCTTTGATGATATAAGGGCTTGTTTTATAATTAAACACCCAAAACTAACAGCCATAGCAGCAGTATTTGTGGACTGAACTTTTCAAAGCACACATTTGGCATTTCATTTTGAGCTAATTTTCATCTCATGAGATTCTAATAAACAGATCAGTCAATTTCCAGGAATGGTTG